TCCAGGAGGCAATTAAGGCACTCAACATTGCAAAGATGGCTGACTGGGATCAAACCTGGCTTGTGCTGACTTCAATGTATTGTCCTAAAGAGCTGGTTGTACCTAACTCACAATTCAAAGATATTTCAATTGACAACAACATATACAAAAGAAACCAATTTGCAGATAATGTTGTTCAAATTTTGTACAGTAGCTCCTAAAATATTAAAAAAGTAGAAAATATTAACTACATTTATGAGTATACAGCGATTAATTACATCACAATGTCGTTTACTGAATGGCTCCTTATAACAACACCCTATTTTATTATCACCCAAGTTATTTGTTGCTCAAAGAAGCTGGCGTAGCAAATGCTTTGTTGGGTTTCTTGAAAAATGTAATGATTTGAAAATAGATTTATCTAGCTGCTCTAAAACTGTTTTTTGGTACTAGATTGTCTTTTATCATTTCTTGTGTCTATTTCACGGAAGTATATATATCATATAATTTATTGACATTTTTTGTATAGAGGAAGTGATTTCGGGGGTTGTTTGATGGGCATGTGAAAATTAGTAATTAAGAGCTTGATGAGCCTCAATGTGAGGACATTACTTTCTTGCAACAGCATTATGCATAAGGATGTTTATTTGGCACTTGTAAATGTAAATATTTTAATATTTCTCTTCTATTTATGTTGTGTCCATTTTCATGGTCTGCTGCTCTTCTTCTATTAAGCTGATAGTCCATTTAACATCATCTGCCCAAAACTGCAAAAATAACCACCAATGAAGAAGGTCCAGTCACAATTCATAAACTTTTCAGCAACAAAAAACTTTATTAGAATCTGACTTAGAGAAACACAGCTTGATTATCAGACTAATAACAAGAATGGCAGCAAAAAAACATTGCAATAGTAGTTTACTTCTATTGACTTGAAACCATTGACAGTCCAATATTGACAAAATCAGTCAAATTAGAACATTGACAATCTAGGAACTTTAACATTATATCTCATTTGAATAAAGGCAACAAATAATATGCAGATTTCTATTTCGATGAAATCACCTGGACATTTGAACAAATGGTATCTATTAAAAATGGAGTTAATCTTTTGTATTTTACTTACTTCAGGAGCATCCGGTTTCAAAAATTCCGCAGTTAGGAAACTCCTCAAAGCCTTCAAAGAATATTATGCAATAAGTAATATTTTCTTCAAAATTAGAAATGAAAAGGAATTCATGCAGTACACATTGTAGACAAAACCTATAATTGTATAATTTTATATTTTTTAAGTTTAAAATTCTCATTGAAAATACATGTTCACATACCCTTGGGTTTCAATGTAAGCAATTTTTTTAAATCTTTTTTATTGATACAGCGGGCTACTATAAAACAATTTTACAGTTTATGGCAGACTGGCAGTAGCTGGGGCAACTAGGCAGCATATTCCAATGGCTGAACAAATATTGCTTACAGGAAAACTCAAAATTTTTAGTATTGGAACATAGACAGAGACAGCCAAAAGATTTTGAGTAAGAAAAAAATGCATAAATGGTGCAACCAGCATTGGGGGAAATCATTCCTTTATCAAGGCATTGTAACTTAACATTTTGGCCTTTTGTTGACAATTTTTGAAATATTTGTCTGTAATGCTGATTGGACCTATTGCATTTCTGAAGCTCATTTTTTGCTTGTATTTGTTTTGTAGCTTGCTAAACTTTGTAACTTCAACAAGACATTTCTGCTGTGTTAATAAAAAACAGTTAATTTTACCAGTTTAAGCTCCCCAATGTTTAACAAGGCTCTTCCTAATGTCTGATGACCTTCTGCCCAATCAGGCCTAAAATGGATTGCTTTCTTGGCATTTTCAACAGCAGGGAAGATTTCATTAAGCTCCATCAAAACCTGCAAAACATTTTAATTCAATGAACTTGATAGCAGTGTTTATTGAATGGTTATATATTATCATAATAGTAAATAGTTTCAATTATTGTATTTTGTTGTGTATAAAAGGCACCTTTTTTCGAACTATTATTGGCTCAATTATTTATTGGACTCTGATTTTCCCTCTTAAAAGTAGCCACACTTTTATAGGAAATATTCTCCACACAGGGGGGAGGGGTAAATTTTTATGGATTTGAATACCTATTGGTTCTATTTGACACTTTTTAACCTTATGCTAAACATGTTGGGTTTGAATGTATTTTCAAAATCAAGAGCTAGTTTCTTTAGCATT